AATCCCTCTAGTATGATGATCCATGACTTATGGTGCACATAAGGCTGGCAAGAGAGTTAGCTCAGTGGACAAAGACATTTGCCACCAAACCTGATGATCTGTGTTTTACCCCTAGGACTTACATGATGGAAAGAAAGAAGTGAAATTTGTCTTCTAATCTATGCACACATGCCAACACACATACATGGAATAAATAAAATGTAATATTTTTAAAGCATGATATACATAAAATAAAACTACTCTGCTCTAGATATAGTTCATAGATGGCTTCAAGTGACAAAGAGTTAATTCTATACTTCTATTAAAGTAAAATCTTCTCTAGTAATTTACACAGTTAAGTTAGCAAAGCTAATGCTACCTTCTATCTCTTGTTAACAAAATGTCTCATATAACCTTTCTGAAGTCATTAATTTCTTTTTTGTAAATAGCATTTCTGCAGCTCAATTGTTTGGGAACTGTAAAAAGCAATTAAAATAATAAGAAGAGCGAATTAACTAAATCTGGGAGCTGTAATTTTAATGAATAGGTTCTGAGAATAAATCATAACTAAATTACAGAAAATATGATGAATTTGTAAAAGAGAGAGAAAGAAGTACAAAACGACGTCAAACTAGTTCAGAAACTTTAGTGTGTTATGGTTGCTCCTCTGTTGTTGGGCACTGTGTGAGCATGCCACATCACTGTGCAATGGTCTCTGATTGTGACTTCCTCCCCAGAGAAAAGAATGAAAATTATTTCAGTCCATGAAAAATCTGTCATTTCCCCGGTATTCTCATCTAGTCTCTTGATTCTGTGAGTCCTTTGACATCTGCTATTTCACACTGTATACTTTATAGAAAATAGGAATGCCACAAATGACTCCTGTCTGTGTAGATGCAAACTGCATCTACTGAAAATACAATTGGTCATTAGCCTATGGAAATGGGTTTAACTTCTCTAATTTTGCATCTATATATGATGTCATTTTAGCATTCCTTATTTGAACTTTTATATGAATGGATTCTCCTTTGAATAGCTATAACATCTAACTTGCTGCCTCATTAAATTGTTAGTTTTATAAATTTGACATTCATTCCTCTATGTGTGTGTTCATGTGTACATGTATGTGGAGGTGTGTATGTGTGGGGAGGGAGGCAGATGACAAGCTCAGGTGTCATTACTCATGTATCACCCACTATCTTTTTGAGACAAGGTCTCTCCATTTCCTGAAAGGGGTCAAGCTTATCACTGCCTCCCCAGCTATGTGGCTACAAACTTCCTTCTCCAGATTTAGCTGTTTTGCTTTTTAACATGGGTTCAGGGACGAACTGTCCTTTTACTTACAAGGCAAACAGTTCAGTGACTGAGCTATCTTTCCAGCCCTGACTTCTTTTTGTGTTTCTATGAGAGCTATGGATATAACATTTGAAGAATTTTTATATATCAATAAATGTCAAATATCAATGGCAAAATAAGATTTTTGTTTTGCAAAACAATACAAATGTCTGGTTCTCTAAAAGGAATAAGCAATGGTAGTAATAAAAGTTAATCTGATTTTCCAAAATCTGGTACATATGAAGAACAAAATGTGTATTACTAACTTTCTATAAGTAAATGTGCCTTCTCCATCAAAAATATAGCTGGAAGTTCATTAACACTGAGGCCACAGAGTGCAACACTGATGAAGAAGACAAGCCTGCATGGGTGTAAGAAGAGATTCAGAGGGGCTGTGTTGCATAGAATCAGTTCAGATGGTGTATCTGGCAAACCAAGCCCAAGAGATGGGAAAGTCTTCATGTTTCCAGTGCTCTATTTCCTGGCTGACGCCCTTAGAGATAGCAACACTGCCACTTGTCATCCTGAGTGAGTTCACACTGCCTGTACTGTTGCTCTTCTGTCATCCGGCCATCACCACCTTCATGAAGTCGTGACTGCTTTCTGAAAAGTTTCAGGCGCTGTGGAAATGAGTCTGAAGTTCTCTGTAGATTCCTAACTGTTTAGGTTACAGGTGCCTCTTAGCTGTCTGTGTCCACTCCACATCCTCCATCAGTAACTAGGGCATTTCCAGGCACTGTATTATTTGCACATTACTCATCTAAGTAACATGGTATTTCAAGTACATTAGTTCCTGTATAAGAGGTATGAGAAGATTTAGTAATACTTAAATTTGATAATTTTTAAATTTGCTTTATTGAGTAACCATTGGTCTTGTGACTATAAATAATAAAATATTTGTATTTTGAAATTATTCCAACTTGAGTTGTCAGGTGAGTCACATGTGAAAAGCATGTGATTTTTTGAATTTAACTTCCAGGGATCTTTTGAAGATCTGAAATGCAGGCCTGTGAAGTATCTTATTTTTTTATTTGCTCAAAGATCCAAATGCTACCTGGGTCTGATGATGTATATCTTTAATCCCAGAACTTGGGAAGCATATTTTTGTGGGTGTAAGGCTGGTGTGGTCAAGATAGTGAGTTACTGAGTTACAGGATAGCCATGGCTGCAAAAAGAGAGCTTATCTCAACTCTTTCCCCAACACAAAAGAAAAATTCAAATGCCAGACAGAAATAATATATTAAAAATAGACTACATGGAATAAGACAAGGCTTATTGTTATATAGACTATTATTATATAGAATAATTTTAGGCTTAATTTTAAAGGATATTGTATTGCCTTAGTTTTTCTATTTAGATCTCAACACAATTGCCTAATGTCATGTGGTTACAATTCATGATGATACGTAAGACAATAAATATGTAAATAAAACAAAACCAACAACCCCACCAAAAGGAAAGAAAACAAAACAAAAGAACAGAGACTTTGATCTGTTAAGAGTTGCTAAAAGCTTAACAAGTAATGTTAAGTAAATTAAAACATTAACAGTATTGTTTATTTGAGTTTTAGTGTGTGCTAAATAAAAGCAAATGTTTACAAGGTCATTTTTTATTCTAACATTCACAAGTACTCTTGTTTTTTGTTTGTTTTACTGATTTTACAACCTGAAGAGAAAATGAAATAAAAACCCAAGCAATAAAAATAAATTTAAAAAATTAGAAACTAATGCCATTTGATGTCTCCCATTGTGAACAGCTTCCCAATAGAGAATTTGAATGTATACTTCTCAAAGACCAAATGCATAAAAGTTTGGAAAAACAACCCTACTAATTCATAAGTCACTAAACAAGACCACACGGTTTTACTATGGTGATAATTTATTGGTTTATGAATAGCTAGCATTTAAACATCAACCAATATGAAATGAAAACCCCCTGCAATAATGAAGTGTGGTGAGAGATAGGCAACATTTGCCCTGGGTGGCTCACACATTCTTATAAAGCACACAAGGAGAATCAGTGATGAATCTCATAAACTGAAGAGATTTATACTCCCAAAACAAACAAAACATGACTGAGAACAGATGAGGACCAAGAACTCCAATGTATTAATAAAGTTAGGCTTTATCTAGAATATAGAATGGAGGAAAGGCCTCCACAATGCATGACTTTAGTCTTTATAAATCATACCAGAAAGAACTGCTTTTCATAGCTTAGGGTATTTATCAACCCATTGAGACTTTAGCAAGCTTAGCAAGAAGAATGAGTCCTTGGTACTGGTTGAATCCTGAAATTCTCTGTTTCTAAGAACCTTCCAGCTGGTGATGATATAATCACACTGGAGCAGCTAGCCTTTCAAAGCACTTCTAATGAGAAGGCCCAAATAACAGAACTCATTCTAACATGCCTACTCTTGGTATATAGCCCATAGCTCATATACACCTCAGTAGTCTCCTTTCACAGCCTTAGACCAGAAGCAAGAAGCATCCCAGCCCTTCTGTGGAAACATCTCCTTCAGCCCACCAACAAACAGTGAGGCTGGGGTCAAGAGCTTACGTGACCAAATGGCTACTCTATTGGTGGGCATCTGGGAAAAAATATTTATTTTGTCCTCCCTGTGTGTAACATCAATTGTTCAAATATATTCTAAGTTTCTGCATCACATTCACTGAGTTGAAAGTTAGTATTCATGTTCCAATCTTACCATGTTTGTGAACATGACCATCTCTCCAGCTATTTCTTTCCTGTCATTAGTTAGTTACTCCTTCCTGTGCATTTGAAAAGCTTCAATTATCTCTGGATACATTGGCAAACCTATAGAGAAAATGCATTCCACATCCCTCTCCTAGTGATATTTGGAAACTAGTGGGAATTTCAGTACCCATGCACCATCCTAATAGGAACTACGTCTTTTGAAAGGACCCTTGAATTAGGAAGAAGTGCAGAAACAGGTAGGTGACTGTCGAGAAGTAGCATTCAATCCAAGTATTGGGTCCTATCCCTGAACCAGAGTCACACTGGTTTCTTAATGTGCGCCATGGGTTTGTTTCAGGTCTCGGGGACTCTGCAGAAATTCTGAGGGTTTCCAAATGCCTGTCAGTCAGTGAAAAGCTCTGTGACACAGAACACTCTTCACTATCTTCACAAATAAACCCAAGAATCTAAGGCATTTTCCAAGAACGTGCCTTACATTTTAATAGGTAACAGCAAATAGCACCATGACAAACATTTGTCACATGAATAAGTGCTGACCTATTATAAAAGATTGTGCTTTCTTTCTCTCTCTCTTTCTTTCTCTCTTTCTTTTTCTCTCTTTCTTTCTTTCTCTTTCTTTCTTTCTTTCTTTCTTTCTTTCTTTCTTTCTTCTTTTGCTCATTCCCAGTACAAAACACATGTTTCTCATTTACCAGTATATCAACAAATGTTTGTGAATGAAAACATATGACAGCACTAGGTTCATGGACTTTCTCTTCCATTTTCAGGATACCTGGATAGGAAGGATCTCTCTACCAATGAGGAACAAAAGCAATTTTGATAACACTATTTATTGTACTTTTCTAAACATGGACAGTGAAGAGATGTGCATTAGGAGCGCAGAAGACAGATAGGAAAAGCCCAGGTGAGTGTCTCATCTCACATGGGAGACGGATGGCATGCTATGTTTGTGAGATCCTCTTAAAACTCACTTCCTCAATGTAGGATTTCAAAGAATGCCCTCCACTGGAGTCTTCTCCCTAGAGGCAAACAGAGGTTGAAAAAGTCAGAAAGGGAAAGAAAGAGTAATAAAACATTGCAAAGGGCAATGAGATCCCCCATGTCTGCACAAACTATGCCCTTGAGGCCATCACTTTGACAACTTTAGATTCTCTGAGGGAGATAGTATTTCTTTCAAAGAAAAGACACATCTTGTAAGTACATTTCAGTTCAAGTAAACAAACAGTCAGTAGGTGACATTTATTAAATATCAAAGAAGGCTAGGTGGGTTTACAAAATATTTAACTTTGTATGTTCTTAAAAATATATGAAGTCACTAATGTGATATAAATGTTCATGAAGATCTAACATCTAGACTTAAGACTACCCTGTGAAAAGAGAACAAATCATTAATTAGTTTGTCTTTACATTTAGTCTTTCTAGCCATAGTGGCCTGTGCTTAGCCAAGTCTCCATCATTTGTGTTTTTTGCTAATACATCATTAAACACTAATAACCAACAAGGCTGAGTTTATTAAAATTTAAAGCATCAAATTGTATTTTTATAGTGCATAGGCAAGGACATTTGGAAGTAAGTTCTATGATGTCATGAGTTGATAAATTCTAGGTCATCATATGTGTTTAAATGATAATTAAGTAACTGTGAATGAAGCTTAAAATTATTTTCACAGTTTTTTCAAAGTCCTTTATATGTGTTATATATGTTATCTCATTGGACTGTGGTTTGTGTGTTTGTTTTTAGTACAATTTAAGGACAAGACATCCTCATGCCAACTTGATATGCTGAGAAAAGCTAGGAGGAGTGGAGTGACATGAATGAACCCAGGAGCTAAACAAAGCCTCCCTGGGGCTGCACTCAGTCTGACACTATACCACCTCATGGTGATTAAAATAAGTTATTACTGAAAATTAAGTTCACTTTCATTTTAAAAGTGGAGGTTTTCTGTGGTTGAATGTTGGGTATTGATGGTTTTTTTTTCATGTTCTGAACAATAGGATCTGGGGAAAAGAAAAAGAAAAAATTAAGAGGAACAGTCTGATATTTCTGAAAATTGAACAGTACAGATCAATATGGTAATATTTCTTCCCAAATCATGGTTTCCACTGGTATAAAGACATAAAAATCAATATAATACAGTTTAAAAGTCACCAAATGCCTTTAAGATTACAGGATATTTCAATACATAACACAATAAAAAAGATAGGCTAGCACCTTTAATGGCAATATTCAGGAGGCAGAGGCAGGTATATCTCTGTGAGTTCAAGGCCAGACTGGTCTTCAGAGTGAGTTCCAGAGCAATCAAGGCTGAACAAAGAAACCCTGACTTGAGAAACAAACAAAAATCAGACAAAACAACAGCAGCAACAACAAAGATAGGATAGTCCTGTATTCTTAAATTATAAGCTATTGGTAGAAATAAAATTCATGTAATTCTTCTAAAAACTGAAAAAATAACTTGAGTCCCCCACATTGAACACTTAATCCCTCATAGTTGAACAACTACCCCAAGAATTCTCTAGACCCTTCCAGTGTGTCTCTTTCATGGCTAATTATCTTCCTTCTGTTTCACCTCAGTTACCAGGGGAATGAGGGCAAGATGGCAATCGCTTTTGATGATAAATACTCTAAGTGGCCACTATGTGAAGCCTGTATGGAGGGTCTTTGAACACTTGAAGACTGGAGGTACAATTTCAGAATTTCCAGCTGCTCACTGAAGAGATGGGTTTTATTTTTTCCAGCTAGAAAACAATGGTTTCCCAATTTGTCTAGATGACTCCAGTCTTCTGCTAATATTTGTTGGTGACTGAGAAATTTCTTGATGATTATCAATATACAATAAATAGGCTTCTAGACAACCTTGCTTCTTGCAACTGTGCCACAATTCTGAGTGTCCATGCCATAGCAAATGATGGTCAAAGGTAACAATACCTATATAAAATCATCCTTGTGAGGCTCAAACCGAATTAAAGCAGGCAAGTTAGGAAGAGGCAAAGACTTATGCCTTTTTTGTGTGTGAAACGGTTGTTTTAGCTGGGGTCATCCTTGTGGATTCCTGGGAGTTTCCCTGACACTGGGTTTCTCTCCAAGCCCACAATGGTCCCCTCTAGCAAGACATTTCCTTCATTGCTCTCCTTCTCCTTCCCTTCCCCAATTAGACCATCCCAATCCTTCATGTTCCTATCCTCTATCCCCTTCCCTCATGTACTCCCAGTTTACCCCGGATATCTCATCTATTTCCCCTTTGCAGAGAAATCTATGTGTCCCTCTTAGGGTTCTCCTTGTTACCAAGCTTCTCTGGGGCTGTGGATCAAGGCCTGGTTATCCTTTGCTTTACATCTAATATCCACTCATGAGTGAGTACATACCATGTTTATTTTTCTGGGTCTGGGTTACCTCACTCAGGATGATTTTTCTAGTTCCATCCATCTGCCTGTAAATTTCATGATGTCATTGTTTTTTTACCACTGAGTAATACTCCATTGTGTAGATAGACTCCATTTTCTTTATCCATTCTTCATTTGAGGGGCATCTAGGCTGTTTCCAGATTTTGGCTATTATGAATAATGCTGCTATGAACATAGTTGAGCTAATGTCCTTATGGTATGATTAAGCATCCTTTTGGTAGTAGTATATCTGAGTCTTAAGGTAGACTGATTCCCAATTTTCTCAGAAACCACCATACTCATTTCCAAAGTGGTTGTACAAGTTTGCACTCCCCACCATCAGTAGAGTAGTGTTTCCTGTATTCCATATCCTCTCCAACATAGGCTGTCATTAGTGGATTTTTTATCTTAGCAATTCTGATATATGTAAGATGTTATCTCAAAGTCCTTTTGATTTGCATTTCCATGATATTTAAGGATGTTGCACAATTCTTTAAGTATATTTTGGCCATTTGAGATTCATCTGCTGAGAATTCTCTGTTTAAATCTTTACCCCATTTTTTAAATGTATTATTTGGTATTTGAGTCAAGCTTCAGCTAAGACTCCTAGCAATAATGGAGAAGGTGCCCAAACTGACCTTCTCCTGTAATCAGATTGGTGACTAGCCTAATTGTCATCATAGAACCTTTAGCCAGTATCTGACAGAAGCAGATGAAGAGATCTACAGCCAAGCACTGGGCCAAGCCCCAGAAGTCCAGTTGAAGAGAGGAAAGAGGGATTATATCAGCAAGGGAGATTAAGATCATGATGGGGACACACCCACAGAAACTTCTGGCCTGAGCTTGTGGGAGCTCAGGAACATTAGACAGACAGCTAAGGAGCTTGCATGGGACTAACCTAGACCCCTGCATGTGGGTGAGACTTGTGTACTTGGTCTGTTCATGAGGTCCTTAGCAATGGGTCCAGGACCTGTCCCTTGAACATAAGCTGGCTTTTTGGAACCTATTCTCTATGGTGGGATGCCTAACTCAGCCTTGATGCAGTGGGGGAGAAGCTTGGTCTTGCCTCGACTTGCTATGTCATGCTTTGTTGATGCCCTTGGGAGACTTACCCTTTCTGAATGGAGATGGAGCAGGAGTGGGTGCAGGGGGATGTGGGGGGTAGGCAGTTGTTGGGGGAAAAGGAATAGGTTGATAGAAAGGGGAAACTGTGGTTGGTAAGTAAAGTAAATTTTTAAAAATTAACTCTAAAAATTTACAAAACTGAAAAGGATATTTTAAATGCTCAGAAGAAATGTCTCATTAGACATACAACCCATACTTGTAACATCTCTCATATATCTACTGATTTATGTAAGAAGCTACCATTATTTAGTCAAACAGGAGAGTCTTAACAGAACACTTGCCCAGCAACAGCATGTCAGGGCCCATTGTTATTAACTCAATTCCATCCTGACTTAATGTCAGAGTTCAAACCTATTCTTGTTCCTTAAGGTTAAACAACAGGATGTTTCTCTTAAATTGTGGCTTCTTGATGTCTTGACCCTCAAGATAAAATTACAGGATGTTTGTCTTAGGGTGTTGTTACCTGTTATTTTGGGTATTGAGGAGGTAATTACATTTGTTCCTTGGATCATGGTAAGGAAGTCTTTTGCCCTCCCCTTTTTCTTTGGCTATATAAGGGTGATAAGTAATAAACTTGAGGTGTCTACAGTATTCACTGAATGCTCTGCCACTCTATCTTCTGTTACTTATCTCTTTCTTTTCTCAATCCTCACCCCCGCTTTCAAGTACATTCCAACAGTTTGCCTGAACCCGACACAGCACCTCTACCAATGAACTGATGCCAAGTCCTCTAGGGGTCTCCAACACCAGTTAAGTTTTCCCCTTTTGCTTTAAAGATTTGCCATCACCTCATCCTTGTTGATACACCAGTGTTGACCATGGCTCATGCATTCTCATCACAATGGCTGCCAGTCCCAAACAAATACCACCATTCTCTGAGACCCCATCTCTGTTACTTAGACTGCTAGGAGAACCCACACACCATTTGTTTCACACACACTAGAATCTGGCTACATGCCTCATCTATAAATTATTGGTGGCTCCAATAAAAGAAGAGCATAACATTGGAGTCTCTAATTGAAAAAAAAACAGGAAAATGAGCACTTGGCAGAGAGAATTACAAATGTGACCATAGCAAAGACAAAAGATAGGACCTCTGAATTTTAGAGTCAGTAGAAGAACCCAATGAAGGACTGGGCTCCATGTCTGTTACAGCTTATTCAGTCTTCCAAATGATGCCTCTCTCCTCCCTGGCCCCAGGAGGGCTAAGGAAAAGAACACTTTCATAGCACAAATATATCCATCTCGTTCCATATTCTCTTAACTTTAAAGACTAATATTTTAAATATCAAGTCATCTAAATGGTATAATATTTTGATGATCACCTTTTAGAGTGGAATCAAAAATACCCAAATGCAATTTCCCTTGTAAAACAAAGAGGGTAAAAGGGATAGAAAAGAGGCAGAAAGGGGCATGCGAAGAAGGGAAGGGCAGGTATAAGGAAACTATGCCTCTAAAAACAAAACCAAGAAAGGATATTTCCTGAAACATGGTTTCACTTATCATGAATT